ATGTGTGTGTGCCTTTGTATTATCAAACTTGCCAAACGTAGATTTAATTATTGAAGGCACATCCGTAGGCAGACTTTCCTCTATATCATAAACACAATTACAACATCTCTTTCATGTAAACTAGTATCCTGATTTTCCAAAACGTGTTTTTTTTTCACTTTTAAAAAATGAGGCATAGTTCTGTCAGAAAAAATAGCAGTGTCCTTTCTGGTATAAGTATTGAAATAAACCAATACAAGAATCAAAGGACAATTTACAATGTTATAATACCGAACAGTTGAACTGGAAAACGACAATGAAGCATGATGAAGGTAATCTGCGTATAGAAATTTGTACAACAAAGCTTAATCGATTATTACGTATAATTTATGATATCTTTCATTCCCCGTAAGTTAGTATCCCTCTGTGGACCAGGCTAGAATATCGACACTTGACGATGACAAAGTTTGCTCAGTAATTGCGGTTAGTTCACATGTTCAGTATCAGAAACCTTCAAAGCAAATAATAGCTATACACACAACCTTAGGGTCGAGACATGTGAATCGGTGAGTGCACAGAGTCGGTCGTGCAGAAGATTCATTGTTGACATCGCGTTACAAACAAAACAAGCGCTGTTTTATCTACTGGAGGTGCCGCGAGCGCGAGCTGAACCTGGTGTCATCGGCGGCCTTTCATTCGGTCCTACCTGTCAATCATCCCGGGATCTGTCATCAATCATCCACGCCAGGGGCACGGGGTGTCGTCTGATCCAGACATGGCGGCTTTATTGGCCCTCAGGAAGGTGAGACCGTTGTGACCGTGTACTGATCAGCTTCTGGGTTGTTTTACAAGCAAACTTACATGTCGACAGATTGCTTGACAAGCTAACTTACAATTGTTCAACAAGCCAACTTACAAGCTAACTTGAGTACTGTCATGGCGTCTTTATTGGTCCCGAGGAAGGTGAGACCATTGTGACCGTGTACCGATCAACTTCTGGGTTGTTTTACAAGCCAACTTACATGTCTGCAGATTACTTGACAAGCTAACTTACAAGATGAAGTACATGTTTTCTAATTGGCAGATTGTTCAACAAGCCGACTTACAAGCTAACTTTAAGTACTGTCATTGCGTCATTATTGGCCCTGAGGAAAGTAATACTTGTGACCGTGTACTCTTTGCTAATTCGAAGATTGTTGTACAAGCTAGCTTATATATATATACAATTACGTGTGCATGTCTTCTAATTGGTAGGTTGACAAGCTAACTTTTCTGAGTTGCAGATTGTTTGACAAGCTAGCTTCCAAACTAACTTACACGTCTTCTCATTTGTAGATTGTAGGCAAACTAACTTACAAGATATCCTATATGTCTACCTATTTGGAGATTATTTGACAAACTAAAAGCTAAATTACAAACTAAAAGTACCTACTTCAATTTAATTATAAAGTGTTATTCTTAGAGTGACTCACCGAAAATAGATATAGCAACCCATCAAAAATAATTAAAGTCACCCACCGAAAATAAATATAGTAACCCACCGAAAATAATAAAAGTCACCCGCCGAAAGTAATTAAAGTAACCCACCGAAAATAATCTGTAATGATATGAAAAATGGAAAATGTAATTACACGTACAGTCTACCACTTCAATGACAGTAGGATAACGGTGATGAACTTACATGATACCATGGCAACTTTGCCGTTATTGCGTTTGAAACGAAAACAAAATGGTCACCACAAAACAATATTTTACGGGGGGGGTGTCTCCTACCAGCACATTAGATGTGACAACTGAATTAAGTATGGATCACTGAGGATCATAACATTTGCAGACATATTTGGAACCTATGACGTTATAATAACACATTCTCTACACAGAGCCATCCCGCGTTAGTACGTCAACCTTGTCCTTGGGATCGGGTTATCCGCAGATACCGTATTGTCGCTACATGGGAGAATGTTACAACAATGTACAAGGACAGGTTCAGTATACGTAGAAGCAAGGAGCTTAAAGACCCTATAAGCTCCTTTGTAGAAGTTAGTACTATTGAATTCAGGCAAGGTGTGGCTGTTACTCTTCGCGGAATAACTGGCTAAATTCAATAAGTTGAAATCGACTACTTTCCAATGAGAGGTTTCGGCTTATTTTTGACGTGTTTTTAGGCGTTTTTATCGGGCTTCCTTTTTGTACTGGTATCATTTTTAGGGCAGCGTATTGGATACTGCCTTGCTAACATGATCTTGCAGATACCAAAAGATCTGCTTCTAGATTAAGAATCGACCCGGTCGCACATGATTACTACCTTTGATCAATTTGATATCATTAATCTGTAATGATATAAACATTACACGAGACTGGACAATGCTTGTTGTTTACGGCTAACGTCCGCCAGCTGCCCTTGTGTTTTTGGACATTCCCGACGTAAACAAACAACCTGTTGTCGCACGTCCGTTTGGGAGAAGCGGAGATACAGCTGCATGCTGGAGGTTACGGGTTCGAACCCCATCGCCTGGTCAAACTGTAAAATACATTTGACAACAGCCATGAGGTGCTTTTGTTTTAAACTTGTGTTAATTCGTGCGTCTTGTTTATTTGTTTGATCATGGCCTTTTGGCATTTGGGAAAAGTCCATCTCAAATGTTCGTGTGGGGGTGAATCGGATCTAAAAAGTCTGCTTTTGTTTCTCCTGGGCCACAACATAGTCATAAGTCTTTATAATTTGTTTCAATGTCAATGATTCCCAACTATTTTATTAGCCGCAATGTATAAACCAGCTGCTGGTAATACAGATGACGTGAGAAGCGTGAGATTATTATCAACCCTCCCCACATCTGCCCCGCTGCCACCCCTACTAAACAGGTCCGATTTGTTGCGGACCGCACAACAACCAGGCCAACAAAGCGAGGCTAAGCGTTGTCGTAAATCTGGCGGTCATACATCACGTCTGTGCCGGGGTGACACCCAGCCCGGCAGACCAGACGGTTCCTACCCGGGGCGATGTTTGTGTGACTCCGTCGGGTGAACAGTAACAACCCGAGGGGTTCGGACTCCGGAGGCGAGGTTTGCCGCCAAAACATCTGCACACGTTACTATGGAGATGTAACTTTAGTCTCGTTTTCTGCCCAAAATCTGCCCATGGCGGCGATATGGGGGGAAATAAAAGAAGGGAAACATGATCTGACAATATGTTAGCTATCACACAAACGTATTTGTAGAGTTCCGGCAGTGATATAAATGTCTTCATCCTCTATTTGCTCTTGTCTTTTTGTCACCCACTCTTTTTGTCACTTACTGACACTCTTTAAGTTTAACTGGCTAGTTTCGCTCCTTCGGTCTCCACCAAGACACACGAAGAAAGGTATCCAAGATACACGTTTATGTTGTGTGGTGTTGGGTCTTCCAAAACGAAAAGTGGTTTGGGGTTTTAATGGAAATAGTGCTCTCCAAATTTATTATGACAAAACTTGAATGGAATTTCTAAGTTGCAAGCAAACTGATGACGCATTTCTATGATTCTAACATTTTAGCGGACTTGTTTGAACGTTAACGGATTCAGTATATTTTTTAAGCTTTTTATACCTGACTATAAGATTGTTTATTTATCTTTCATTCATTTTCATCCATTTGCCTATTTACAAATAGATTTGTCAGCTTATCCGTGTATGCTTTATGTCAGAATTAACAGTTAATGACAGAATTCCTTCCAATGATTTCATGTTTTTCTGTCAGAATTCCAGAATTTCCTAATCTGAAATTGCGCGTTATGCTTTTGTCCATGACATTGTGCGAGCACATGTCCCACCAAACTACGAATGTCGTTTATTTTCACGTGTGTTTATGTTACCCTCTCCGGAAAGACGATTTTCGTTACGCTAATAAAGTACGTGTATTGACACAACTTTTCCAAATAAAGTACCTGTATTGACATGACTTTCCCAAAGGTAGGAAACAAGAAATGCCGTGCCCTAATACAAACTAAATGTCCTGATAGCTATGTCCAGTATGTTCAAGCCTGGATACCGATTTACAATCTTCCAATCGCGCACATTACTTGCTACAAACACCAAAACAGGATGACACAAAGTAACTGTTTTTCTGTCATTCGGAACTGACTTTAAACTGCTACTGTCTATTTACCCAACTGAAAAAAGTAGATTCTTCGTTCAACACAAGGTAATAAATTATACATGTACATACCTCCGCACAATATCGTTTTATTTCAGGAGGTTTATATAACGGATACCTGCCATGTTTCAGCATTTTGTGATCTTGCCGCTGACCATGTGGCGTAGACTGCGTGACGTCAGCGGCAGTTACACTTTTGAAATCTCATGTTATTTCTACAGATATCCCTTTATACACCCCGGAGTCATGGTACCGCAGATCTTATACAAATAAATTGTTCGGAACGAGGAATCTGTCAACTTTTTGGTAAGACGTTCCGTTCCGATGACTGCGTGTGGGCTCAGGAAAACATGCTATTTTTTGTACCGCCATGTTGTTGTTTGTAGCAATCCGTAGGAACGTTAAGCACACCATTGTAAGTATTGTATAAGTATTAAGCTTATTTTGCAGCACTTGAAAACATTTCAGACATAGCTGCCTGGTGCTGAGTTTGTTTTCGGGCACGGCGTTACCTGGTCCTTACTTCTGAAAATATCAGCTCAATTCAGACACTTAATTAGCGAAACGGGAATCGATCCGGAGAGAAAAGGTCCCCTAGGTTCAGATGCTTAACTTATTTAGCGAAACGGGAATCGTCTATCCAGAAAGAAAAGGTCCCCTAGGTTCAGATGCTTAACTTATTTAGCGAAACGGGAACCGTCTATCCAGA